TGACTATGAGACAGATAATCTGAGCAAGTTTGGGCAAATTTCTATGTGCCAAACCTGAGATATGACTTCAAACACAAGAAAATATCTCAAATTGGCGCGTTCTAGCGGAACGCAAGCACATATTTCAAGATCCTACTGATAAATTTTCTTTAAATTTTCCAGATAGTTGTATGGCTATGAGACAGATAATCTGAGCAAGTTTGGGCGAATTTCTATGTGCCAAACTTGAGATATGACTTCAAACTCATGAAAACATCTCAAATTGGCGGTTTCGGAACGATATTTGACGAAAGTCGATTATTTTGAGATCCTACTGATAGATTTTCTTTAAACTTTCCAGATAGTTGTATGGCTATGAGACAGATATTCTGTGCGATTTTGGGCGAATTTCTATGTGCCAAACCTGAGATATGACTTCAAACACAAGAAAATATCTCAAAATGGCGGTTTCTAGCGGAACGCAGGCACATATTTCGAGATCCTACTGATAAATTTTCTTTAAACTTTCCAGATATTTGTATGGCTATAACAGTCCCCCATTCCTCTTCCTCCTTCTCCTCCTCAGTCCTCCTTCTCCTTCTCCTCCTCAGTCTTCCTCCTCCTTCTCCTCCTCAGTCCTACTCCTCCTCCTCCTCAGTCCTCTTCCTCCTCATTCTCCTCTTCAGTCCTCCTCATCCTCTTCTTCCTCTTGATTATCTGTCTCATAGCCCTACAATTATCTGGAAAGGGGGATCACGTTTTGTGTCCGTTTCTGTCCGTTCGGTACCCTTTATTTTCAAAACGGACAAAATGTAGGGCGAACAAAAACAGAATAAAACGGACAAAAACGGAACAAAGATGTTATGGAAAAAGGGAAAAATGGAAATAACATTTATATGCTTCCTCCTCCTCCTCCTCCTCCTTCTCCTCCTCTCCCTCATGTCCCTCCTCCTCCTCCTCCTCTTCCTCCTCTTCCTCCTCCTTGCCAGTCCTCCTCCTCAGTCTTCCTCCTCCTCAGTCATCATCCTCCTCCTCCTCCTCGGTCCTCCTCCTCCTCGTCAGTCCTTCTCCTCCTCCTCATCAGTCCTCCTCCTCCTCCTCCTTCTCTTCCTCCTCCTCCTCAGTCCTCCTCAGTCCTCCTTCTCCTCCTCCTGTGTCCTCATCCTCCCCTTCCTTCTGAGTCCTCCTCCTGAGTCCTCCTGAGTCATCCTCCATCTGAGTCCTCCTGATTCCTCCTCCTCCTGAGTCCACACTCTCGTGAGTCCTCTTCCTCCTCCATCTCCTCCACTTCCTCGTCCTCTTCAGTCCTCCTCCTCCTTCTGAGTCTACCTTCTCCTACACTTCCTCCTCCTCCTCAGTCTTCCTTAGTCCTCCTCCTCCTCCTCCTCAGTCCTCCTCCTCCTCAGTCATCATCCTCCTCCTCCTCAGTACTCCTCCTCCTCGTCAGTCCTTATCCTCCTCTTCCTCCTCTTCCTCCTCCTCCTCCTCCTCCTCCTCTTCCTCCTCCTCCTCCTCCACCTCAGTCCTCCTCCTCCTCCTCTTCCTCCTTCTTCTCCTCAGTCCTCCTCCTCCTTCTCCTTCTCATCAGTACTCCTCCTAAGTCTTTCTCCTCATCCTCATGCTCCTCTTCCTCTTGATTATCTGTCTCATAGCCATACAACTATCTGGAAAGGGGATCATGTTTTGTGTCCGTTTTGTCCGTTCGGTACCCTTTATTTTCAAAATGGACAAAAAGTAGGGCGAACAAAAACATAATAAAACGGACAAAAACGGAACAAAAATGTTATGAAAAAATGGAAATAACATTTAGATGCTTCCTCCTCTTCCTCCTCCTCCTCCTCCTCCTCCTCCTCCTCCTCCTCCTCCTCCTCCTCCCCCTCCTCCTCCTCCTCCTCCTCCTCCTCCTCCTCCTCCTCCTCCTCCTCCTCCTCCTCCTCCTCCTCCTCCTCCTCCTCCTCCTCCTCTCCCTCATGCCCCTCCTACTCCTCCTCCTCTTCCTCCTCCTTCTCAGTCCTCCTCCTCAGTCTTCCTCCTCCTCAGTCATCATCCTCCTCCTCCTCAGTCCTCCTCCTCCTCGTCAATCCTTCTCCTCCTCCTCATCAGTCCTCCTCCTCCTCCTTCTCTTCTTCCTCCTCCTCAGTCCTCCTCAGTCTTCCTTCTCCTCCTCTTCCTCCTCTTCCTCCTCCTCCTCCTCAGTCCTCCTCATCGTCAGTCCTTCTCCTCCTCATCAGTCCTCCTCGTCAGTCCTCCTCCTCCTCCTTCTCCTCCTCCTCGGTCCTCCTCATTCTCCTCGTCCTCCTCCTCTTCTTCAGTCCTCCTCTTCCTCCTCCTTTCCCACCTCAGTCTCCCTCATGCCCCTCCTACTCCTCCTCCTCTTCCTCCTCCTTCTCAGTCCTCCTCCTCAGTCTTCCTCCTCCTCAGTCATCATCCTCCTCCTCCTCAGTCCTCCTCCTCCTCGTCAATCCTTCTCCTCCTCCTCATCAGTCCTCCTCCTCCTCCTTCTCTTCTTCCTCCTCCTCAGTCCTCCTCAGTCTTCCTTCTCCTCCTCTTCCTCCTCTTCCTCCTCCTCCTCCTCAGTCCTCCTCATCGTCAGTCCTTCTCCTCCTCATCAGTCCTCCTCGTCAGTCCTCCTCCTCCTCCTCCTCCTCCTCCTCAGTCCTCCTCATTCTCCTCGTCCTCCTCCTCTTCTTCAGTCCTCCTCTTCCTCCTCCTTTCCCACCTCAGTCCTCCTCTTCCAGTCCTCCTCCTTCTCCTCCCCCTCCTTCTCATCAATCCTCCTCCTCAGTCCTCGTCAGTCCTACTCCTCTTCCTCCTCCTCCTCCTCAGTCCTCCTCCTCAGTCTTCCTCATCCTCATCCTCCTCTTCCTCCTCCTCCTCAGTCAGTCCTCCTCCTCCTGAGTCCTCCCGAGTCCATCTCCTCCACATCCTCCACTTCCTCCTCCTCCTCAGTCCTCCTCCTTCTGAGTCCACCTCCTCCTCCTCCTCAGTCTTCCTCAGTCCTCCTCCCCCTCCTCAGTCCTCCTTCTCCTCCTCCTCCTCCTATAGCCATGTAACTATCTGGAAAGTTTTTAAAAATTCTATCATTTAGATCTCCAAATATATGCCTTTGTTCCGCTAAAAACCGCCAATTCGGAGATATTTTCTTGTGTTTGAAGTCATATCTCAGGTTTGGCACATAGAAACTCGACCAAAATCACACAGATTATCCGTCTCATAGCCATACAACTATCTGGAAAGCTTAAAGAAAATTTATCAATAGGATCTCGAAATATGTGCCTGCATTCCGCTAGAAACCGCCAATTTGGAGATATTTTCTTGTGTTAAAAGTCATATCTCAGGTTTGGCACATATAAGGTTGCCCAAAATCGCACAGAATATCTGTCTCATAGTTATACAACTATCTGGAAAGTTTAAAGAAAATTTATCAGTAGGATCTCGAAATATGTGCCTGCATTCCGCTAGAACAGGATAGCTGAACGCGCAGGAAAAGTTGCTTCTTGGGTGCTAAGTGCGTTCAAAACGAGAGACAAAGCCACCATGATGACTCTGTACAAGTCTCTCGTTAGAAGCCATCTGGAGTATTGCTGTCCTCTGTGGAATTGCTCTAAGAACAAGGACATCCAACAGCTAGAAGGGATTCAGCGTACGTTTACATCGAAAATAGATGGCACCCAGCACCTCAACTACTGGCAGAGATTAAAGGCCCTAGATCTGATGTCATTGCAAAGAAGAAGAGAACGGTATTTAATCATCAACATGTGGAAAGTTCTGCATTGCAAGTGCCCTAATGATATTGGTATCCAGTTCTCGGTGACTCTCAGACATGGTCAAAAAGCAGTTGTGCCCAGTATAGCTAAGTCCAGCAGTCAACGTAATCAAGCACTACATGACAACTCATTTGCAGTCACTCGATTATGGAATGTAATCCCAACACATATGCACACCATCGAGGATCCTATGCAATTCAAAGCAGCTTTAACGAACTTTGTGAAGTCATTTCCGGACGAGCCTCCAGCTCCAGGATACAGCCGTCGGAATGGAAACTCCTTGCTTGATTGGAGTGGTGATAAAACAGTTTCTACACTGTCCGGGGGTCGACTTTTTCGATGGCCCGATAGAGGATTCTATGAAACCCTACAAAGTAACAAAGTAAGTAAGTAGAAACCGCCAATTTGGAGATATTTTCTTGTGTTTGAAGTCATATCTCAAGTTCGGCACATAGAAACTCGACCAAAATCACACAGATCATTCGTCTTATAGTCATACAACTATCTGGAAAGTTTAAAGAAAATCTATTTGTAGGATCTCGAAATATGTTTCCTGCATTTCGCTAGAAACCGCCAATTTGAGATGTTTTCATGAGTTTGAAGTCATATCTCAAGTTTGGCACATAGAAATTCGCCCAAACTTGCTCAGATTATCTGTCTCATAGCCATACAACTATCTGGAAAGTTTAAAGAAAATTGATCAGTAGGATCTCGAAATATGTGCTTGCGTTCCTCTAGAAACCGCCAATTTGGAGATATTTTCTTGTGTTTGAAGTCATATCTCAAGTTTAACATATAAAAATTCTCCCAAACTCTCACACATTATCCGTCATATAGCTATGTAACTATCTGGAAAGTTTAAAGAAAATCTATTTGTCAGATCTTGAGAAAATCAAAAATATATTCTAAGTTATTCACTAAAACACTCTATTTTCGAACTTTTCATTTGGAACAGATTTGTCGAAAGTCCTTCTGTTCGAGGGAGACCGATATATGCAACCTGCTTTGTTCGGTTGAGAACTGGCGGGAAATTCATCCTTTACAAATTGAGTGTAATAATCCTGTTGACAGATAGCAACTAAGTTATAATATTAAACTGAGCGACTCATCAGAGTGCGGGAATAATATAGTCGGACTTCACAATATCGAGCGGGGTACTTTTTGAATTCAATCAAGTCTTCTGAACTATCTAGGTGTAGAGTGGACCAATGACTACTATTAAATTATGTTCGTATCTGTGATAATCACCATTACCTCTTGTTCGATCACGACAGCTTCCATGACGATCTGCTTGACTATAGCAGGGCTGCATTTCTGGACGATGTGTTTGAACATAAGGCACGCGAAGTCACAGTGGAGCCCCTCGTCGCGGGAGATCAACTCGTTGGAGAATGTAAGTCCGGGCATGAGTCCTCTGAAAACATGGAACATTGTTAAAACTTTTCAAATAATTAAAATTGCACGGTAAATCGAACCGTAAATGAAAAACCATTTCACGACAGAAAAATTGTTTACAGCATGAAAAGTACCTCTTTTTGAGCCAGAAGATGGAAGCAAAAGAGCCACTGAAGAAAATTCCCTCAACACTAGCAAATGCAATAACTCGTTCAGGGAAAGGACGGTCAGAGTGCATCCACTTGAAGGCCCACTCAGCCTTCTGCTTTACACACGGTAGCGTCTCTATTGCGTTAAAGAGTTCATCTTTTTCTGCTGCGTCCTGTAAGTAAATGGCATTAGGGAAATGAATACGTAGATAACTAAGTTTATCAATTTGAGTAATTTCATTACATTAAGTCGTGATATAATATACTCCCTATATTAAAGGTGTAATATCGATTGTTCTAGAGGACTGCCTGACAAACATTTAGTTGATTACAGGTCACCCTGTGCTACATTACGTGGCGCTGTGCTGCATTACGAGTCACTATGTGCTGCATTACGCGGCGCTGTGCTGCATTACGTGGCGCTGTGCTGCATTACGGGTCACTATGTGCTGCATTACGCGGCGCTGTGTGCTGCATTACGTGGCGCTGTGCTGCATTACGTTGGATTTTAAGTCTTAACACATCACGGTTCATCCCTCTTACAATATTACGTTCCCAAACTAAACACTGCCACTTCTACTAGTAAAGCACTAAATAATTGTAACAGTTACTACCACACTGGTCTTACTAACTTACCTTGATATACGTGTCAATCAGCAGACTGTACATTTCAGAGTGAACGTTTTCAATCGCCACTTGGAAACCGTAGAAACATCTGGCCTCCGTTACTTGGACCTCCACTGAGAAGTTCTCTACCTGGTGGAGAGTAATGTTAACATAAGCAGAGATAAACGTAGATACTGTTGTGATGACACAGTCAAGATTATAGCAAGACAGCTAGACCATGCATAATATATTTAGTTATTTAATACTATATTGGGGAGGCCGGAGGGGGCACTGTTATAATCATTAATAGCGAAACAGGATGAGAATTGACATATCATCGTGGCCCATCTGCCTAATTTTCTGACGAAATAGAGAAATTAATGATGTGATATGATAGATATATAGTTGCATTCTTACCAGGTTTTCGTTGACGATGCCGTCACTTGCAGCGAAGAAAGCCAACACGTGAGAGAGGAAATGTTTCTCGTCCTTTTTTAGGGTCTCCCAGTCCGACATGTCCTTACTTAGGTCCACCTCTTCTGCTGTCCAGAACGAGGCTGAGAGTTGTGAGGTTTTAGAAATCAGGAAATGTATTTAATTACAATATCATTATGGATGGTTGTACATATTTAGAATAACAGCGTGTAAAATGAAATATATATTATTCTTATTAAGGTATTTCTTACCTTCAGCTTTCTTGTACATTTGCCAGATATCGGGGTATTCAATAGGCAAGATAACAAATCTCCTGGGGTTATCTTTTAACAGGGGCTCAATTGAGGGGTCGAAACTGGCTTTGTTGTTGTCGATTAGCTCATCCTTCTTGAACTGAAATGATTTATATTGTTAGTTTCACATTTCACAATGCCCTAATTACATTCCCCAATTTTTCTATCTTGCCGTAAGCTTTTATCGATTTGTATCGAGAGTTTTTAGGGCAGAAAAGCTGTATAAAATAATTTAACCACGAACAAATCAAACCTTATTTGCTGTGTCAAGCTCTTCATCAATCTTTAAACTTCCGATGTCCAGGTATCTTTGATCGGTGGATGCCATGGCTTTTATCAATTGTCTTGAAACAAGATGTTTGATAAGAACAATATTAAATAATGAATAGTATTGACCTAGTCTGACATGAAAAATAAAGATTAAAGAAATAGTCAGGTAATAATTTTACTACTAAACGATTCCAATGTCCAATTTCGTATCAAAGATTATTTATCACTGCAGCACAGTGTGTGGTATTGTGGTAAAGACAGTGTCTGGAAGGGTGCTGAGTGGGGCGCTCCTCCTGGAGCCCTCATCTGGCCCGATGCAGCTGTCATCATAATGTCCTAATTTAAACTTTAGTTGATTTATCAAACTTGATACCCATCAACTGAATATAAACTACAAATAAGTGAGGTTGATGCTGATAAATTAACGTGAGAGATGAACAAGTTGAGTGAACAGAGGGCCACATGCAGTAAGGGGTACTACCAATAATACGATGTTTGTTGCTTTCACGTTTCAAAGTTTCCTTCATAACTAATTCAGTTATCAGTGGAGGAGAGAGCTAGCCCCATCTGAATAAAAGTTGCGGAATAAATGGGCAAAATGGGTAGGGGGTATCATTTTTATTATTTTTTCGGTCAAAATCAAAATATGTTTCGGATACCATACTCTATAGAACTGAACTATATTCAACGTGTTCTTCAACCTGATCTCTGAGGAGAAGAGCTACGAGGGATAGATTCATTGCTCATGATTTATGATTGTGCTTTGTCAATTGCACCACTTGATTTATTTATTGTATATACCTTTGAATGACCTTTCCATATAGTTCAACTGAAATACTACTTGACGTGTTTATCAGAAGACGAAGAACACGAGGGTGATGCTCAAATTCACCATAACTCAAGTTTTAGATGATCTAAGGAGAAAATTGAAACATTTTGTCATATTATCCGGGATTATAATTCCACCATGCCTTCCAGCGGTTTGACCTGTAGGCAATGTGCCACTACAATAACACCTTTTGACGGCTTGCTCCCAAAGAAAGAAAACGATTTATTTGTTGATGAAATGCTATTTAACTGAAGAAGTCAAAGATTGATTCAAGGCCGATGAGATGGCCGTCAAGGGTGATTTTACAGCCTGTGGCTTAAGATATATTGACATTTCAGAAGACCCAACAATTAAAGCAGGAGGATGCAGGTGTGAAAGATCTGCTTCACGCTGGAGAGCAATTATTTAAAATTGGGATAATTGACTTGTATAGTTATACCTCACAAGAAGGGGAGCAGCTAATTGCGAGAAACACAAAACTCGTACTAATTTTACAGCCCCCGTCAAGCTATGAATGCTTTAAATAGTGCTTGATTTCCGACTGTTGTATAGATGCCACAAAAGGTTACAAGTCTGTTACAGATCCTACTGCTTTATAACTAAGAAGGGAACCTGTGACAGGGATTAGAAAGGATTACTAATTGTTGGAGGCTGCGAATCTTAGGCCATAGCTACATGAAGATCTATGAATTCACATCGATAACTTTAAAGCTTGCCAGCAATGTTTAGAACGCCGGATATTGCCAAACTAGGAAAGAGCAACAAAGTCCAACGAACGGATAAATAAATAAGATAATTATGCCATAGACAATGTACAACAGAACGATCGAGCAGCGATAGTGAAACGATTGCGGAGCGCCGTAGATTATTCTCTTACAGTCGCTCGATTCTTTCAACTGATTAAATCGTTCGGCTTTCCGCAATGCGCGGCTTAACAGTCATTAGATATTCAATAATGAAAATAAACTGTGCGGCTTTCGGATTTGAATACAAACTTAAAAAGCAACTTAGCTCATGTTTTAAATTACAGTTTGTGATCAATTTAATAATATAAATGAAGAATTAAACCATACTTTTAACACTACTATATAACAATACTTTCAACACTACTATATAACAAATAATTTGAGCATGAATAAGAAGTTGTTACTTTGAAACGTCGTTTATCCTAACAGTACAATATCATTTGTCGCAAATCAGAATAATCAGAAACTATTTGGAAAAACCCAAAAACTGTCATACTTTTAACATTCAACCTATTATTTAACTTATATCAAGTTTGCAGTATTTGGTATAGCCTGCACTGTGCTTGCCAAAGTATTTAATTACGTGAAGGCCTTTGCCCTACTTGTTACTAAGTGTATTGTGATGAAAGATACAAATGATAAATAAAAGAGAAAAATCAAATAATATGAGCTATATATTACTATGCGAAAATATAACGCCGCGCATATCTATGAATGAACAGACAAAATGCATATATAAATATAATCGAGCTCACTTATTTTTGATTTAACTAGTTAGTTATAGTATCGTTTGCTTTACAATAGCAACAACAAACAAGGTCCTCAAATAAAGTCGAAAAATCTGATTCGTAATTCATAAATTAATTCAATTGAGTTTTCAGTAAATTCCAATGCAACTTCAACAATAATTTGGTTCTATGTACATTTTTGTATTTTACCATGAAGACTAGAAATTATGAAAAATGTTTTGATGATTTTTATGTCATTTTTATGTCATTATTTTTTATTTGATTTGATTTACCAGTATGACAGTGATGCTACACTACACTATTGTACCATAATAATTATAAAAAATGGCACAACTGACCATTAGCCTTAGGCCAGCAATTTCTGACAAATTAGTTGTTCCATTTTGAATTCAAATTAATTTTATATATTTTATTTTAAAACTTTACATCAAAATTTGGTAATTATTGTCGAAGCAGAAGTAAAATGAATCTTTATTCAAAATGGGTTTTAGTGCACTTCTAGATTATCATCCCTTTCTAACTGCAATTATACTGGAGACTTACTTACCTGGTCTTGTTTTCCTGTTTAGTAACTGTTATTGAATATAACAAATTGAATAATAAATCCTATCCAGTAACCAAATATGTTTTTAAATTTAGTTACACTAGTGAGGCAAGGTCACTGTAATTTAGAACAGCTACTGAAGAAATCGTTTAAGAGTGGCTACCCATTCAATCAATGCTGTTGTAAACTTTTAAGACACAAATCCTCAGATGACTCATCTGAATGATCAGAAAATCAAAATCGAAAGTTACGTAAGGAGGAGGGGCTCTGTCAAAATATCAGTAATTTTCTTAGAGCATCCCTTCAGTACATCTACATTTCAGTGTACTGTAAACATAGTACTATATTAAAAGTATTTTTTGCCATGTAATTGTAGTCTTGGATAGGAAAACAGCCGTAGTAAATCATAACCTTAATGTACTATTATATACAAATAATGGATAAGATGATAGATATCACGTGACAAGAAATGAAACTGTGCTTTAAAGTTGACTATATTTGTTTGACACTTGACAGCAATTTAAGCACTTGATTAGTTATCAAGCCCGATAGCTGATTTGCTATCATTTGTCTATAAAATATGGATCAACTGCAGTACTCAAAAATATATTCTATGATCTTTTAACTGCCATGCCTGAAGTGGTTCGTAAATGGGCCATTGTTTACTCCTATCGTTTTCGTCCCTCTTCTTACCACTTAGCATTGCCTACTGTAAAGTATAAATTTTTCTAAGATCATAGAGATTAGAGTTACTGACCCGGTCTCACTTAAATCAACCACTAGCCACGATTAAAGGAATGTAAAATACAACTTATTGTTTCATTGAAACTGTAACAGTGGCAGTTTTATTTGCAGATCCTCCAAGCCCACTCAGTTCCTTATTCTCTGGAAATTTTCGATAAGGAATAATGTTGCATGGTCAGATTTATTCATCCCTTATGATCTGCAGCCTTCTTCACACTATCAACCGTGTTTTCATATCTTTCTTGATTGTCTCGGAAAAATGTTCCATACTGGGAACCTCTTGAAACCAATCATGTCAGTAAGATTATATTATGTTTTTCAGTTGATTTAGTGCTCCTTCGGCCTTCCAAAATAAACACCATTTACCTTATCAATCTTTCCATCAGATTTAGTCATGGGTCAAGATAATTCAATATTCAAAAAATTACCAAAATCGATAATCTTTCTTCATTCTTTGGATATAAGTTATTTTTTTGTTGTTGTTTTTTTCTTATTATAGTGTCCACTATTTTAGTAATCTTTATACTTAGATCATTATAGGTTTTAATATCAATTTATATGTTCCATCTATATATACAATATTTTGTATCATAAAATATATAGAAGATTATTGAAGTATTTGACCGCTGTATCATTCACACAGCTACATAGTAAGTGATTGCAATGACGAAAAGATTGCTCCTACAATACCCTCCGGAGCTTGAGAAAAGATACACGGTAAAAGAGACTATAGGATCAGGTAACTGACCCAGTTCATTGTTGCAATACCAATACACTCTTAATGTTCAGTGTAATCCATTGTTGCAATACCAATCAATACACTCTTAATGTTCACTACTACTACTACTACTACTACTATGTCGGAGCTAAGTCCGATCTACGCCAGAAAACCCCCTCCATATATCCCTGTCCCGCATCAGGGTTCGCAGTTCCTCTTTAGAGTTTGTCCCAACTTCCTTCAGTAACATAGACAAGTAGCTTTGTCTTGGTCGGCCTTGCTGTGCTCTACCGTGCGTAGGTTCCCATAAGACTAAATCACTGGCAAGTAGCTCAGGATGTCGGATGCAGTGTCCCGCCATTTTTAATCTCCTGCTTCGTAACTTGTTTGACAGCCTTGGGAGGCTACCATACAAAGTTATATTGCTGACCTTGTCCTTCCATGAGATACCCAGCACCATACGCAACATCTTTGTGTATGTCCCGTCCAAAATTTTCTCTTGAGCCTTTGTCAGTGTCCAGGTTTCTGATCCGTAGAGCAGTACTGATTCACAAGCCGCTATGAACAATCTAATCTTTAGGCTCTTTGAGAGTTTGGATTTCCAGATATCCTTCAGTCTATGTAGGGCACCCCACGCTTTTCCCTTTCTAACCCTTATCTCCCTATCTGTGCTCTCAATCCAATGTTCTAATGTTCAGTGTAATCAATTATTGCAATACCAATCAATACACTCTTAATGTTTAGTGTAATCCAATGTTGCAATACCAATTAATACACTCTTAATGTTCAGTGTAATCAATTATTGCAATACCAATCAATACACTCTTAATGTTCAGTGTAATCCATTGTTGCAATACCAATCAATACACTCTTAATGTTCAGTGTAATCCATTGTTGCAATACCAATCAATACACTCTTAATGTTCAGTGTAATCCATTGTTGCAATACCAATCAATACACTCTTAATGTTCAGTGTAATCCATTGTTGCAGTCTGAAACAGTACACAAATCGGGTTTCCCGTGCATTATGCCCACTGTCCAGATCAAAATATGTACATGGCTGAATAATGCCCTATTTTAGTTTAATCATATTTGTACCATGATGCCAGCCTGTGAAATCTTGAAGGCTGATAGAATTTTATGTTCGTAAATTTCTGTCAGGCCTCGAGATTTCACACAGGCTTATATCTTGATATATATCATTAAACTAAATTAGGGCATCTTTCAATACTCGAATAACATGTAGATCGATATTATATATATCCTGGACATTTTGACATTTGAACGGGATATCCGTGACACTGACTCAGAACATCAAGGATTGAGGAAGATATTGTTAAGGGACTGTCGTCCTGTGACAAGTTTTCTAATTGCGATCCTTATAAGCAACTTTTAACAACTTTGTGCAAGGATTGGGTAATCATACTGCGTAAGATAATCAGCATATTTAAGATATTCCACATATTATTGGGATATTTGGTCGTGGTACTGATAAGATGATTGTGTGTGAACAGAGCAGCTAATATAGCAAATATCTCAATATACCCGCTGATATATCACTGCTGGGAAAAACCAATTTAATATCAGTGCTTCAAATTAAATAGGTGGTTGTACGTGGCAAACTAACCTGAGAATGTTAAATATCTTCAATCTGTAGAGTTTCTGCAGTTTTTTTTTCCACAGAAGGCATACTAAAATATTTCTCCCCTTTCTCTGAAGTATGTCCGTGATGATTTGTTGGTCAGGTATGCAACTATGCAATAAACATTACTTCAACCATTTGGTAACCATTTAACCCTCATAAACACCATTTATCGTCGGGTTGATCTTGACAACAGCTGCACTCCCAAACTACATTCGCAGGTGGTTTCGCAAAGGTTATTTAACTTTCCACTTAAGCGTATCATTTTGACTCACGTCAATTTTAACACCATCCTCCACCATTCACTCTGATTTCTCCGGCAACCTTCTCCAGGGTTGCCACACCCCAGAGGTAGGCAGAGCATCTCAATGCTATCCTCTCGTGGGCTATCTTGGCCCAGCCTCTCTAAAAAATAAATAAATAAAACTACATTATATTCGCAGGTGGTTTCGCAAAGGTAAAACTTGCCATCCACAAGGCCACTGGAGAGAAAGTAGCTGTCAAAGTCATGTGCAAGGACTCCTTAGGGGTGAGTGGTTTATAACTAACCTGGTGTCAATATTTAATGACAAGACAAGAGGTTATTTATAGATTGGGATTTAAGCAAATGCAAAATATATTTTGATTTTTAATGGGTTAATGTGTTGTGTAAGATTTCACATGTCATTTATTTGGGAATTACCAGGAATTACCGTAATTCGTTGCTAGTAATCCGTTGTAATTCGTTATTACGACTAATTTTATAAAATATCAAATATAAATTAATATAAATTAATGTTTAATAGTTTACAACCCAACAGGAAGATCTTCATAGAGTACAGCTGGAGATTGATGCGCTGAAAAATCTGTCTCATCGTCACATCTGTCAATTGTACGAAATAATAGAGACACCTTTACTATTCTGCCTCATAATGGAGGTAAGATTTGGTAACTTCAAACAAATTGTCACTGTATCAATTCTGAATTATTTTAATATGGTTTTAATAAATTTTTAAAAACACGAGAGGTTTAATACGTTTATCATTTTTTCAAGGTATTTTACAGAAACTGTAAAAGAATCTGCAATTTCCATAACGTTTTATTACTGTAGTAGTTGTACAGCAATACTAAGGTAATGGGACAACTACCTTAGTAGTACTAGTAGTACTACCTTCACACACACATCGAACGCTGTAAGAAGATGACGATCAGACCTCATTAACGTTTTATCACACTGTAAAGTGTAAAAGTGTAGAGTTATAAAAACAAAACCTTGTTTCAGTATGCACCCGGAGGAGAGTTGTTCGACTACATAATTGCTAGAGACCGGTTGAAGGTTAGTTGCTCTTCCAATACCATGACATGTTCATTGTTGACAGGTTCTTCTCGTGTATTTATGGGCATTCTATTTATAGAAACATAATTTGAGGCCAATTTAAGTCTTTTAAAGGTATTAAATATTAATAGATAGCTCGGGTATTATTAGAATTATGTTTTAATATTAATATGTTCTGTGTCATTTTTTGATAGTTAGAATTAGTGGTCGAGAACGTGCCCAAATTTGAGGATATAATATAAAGATCATGTAGACCAGTAGACTATTTATTATTTAACTCCATCAAGTTAAATCTATTAATTCACAATTCACATGTAACAATCCTTTTTTCAAATAAACTACAATAAAATTAAAATTGGGCGCCTCATCTTACTTTAGATCAGTTACTGACACTCTAATTCATCACCAATACCAATAGCTGAGTGTACAACGTCAACGGTTAACTTTAACCTTATAAGGCAGTAAGTCTGTACATTGTGAGGATTAAAAGCACTAGAGAGGTCCGAGTTTTGGGGCCTAATGGATTTTCTTGTTATAACACGACACTTTAACCGTTGTGACGCCATCTCGTAGAGCTGACGTCATTTAGTTCATAGTAACACGTTACAGTCCAGCTTGCTCAAGCTGTTAGTACCGCTAACCAGCTAACCTGTTCTTATGATCTCTCGCTAGATTGGTAGTGGAATAGGATTGATGCGGTGCCTCAGATCGAGTTATACGATTAGGTGACATGAGATTAGTGATTAGGACACTCTCAGGTTTTTCTAGAAATTGTTCACTTTACGCGGAATCACATACCATGCGTTTTAATATGAAGGAAATAAGCTAACTCTGTTTAACTAGCAACCTGAATATTGCTGATGCAATCCAGCTAACAGATAAAGGGATTTTAAGAGCTCAAAGGAAATTATTTGATCTATAGGTAACTGAAAGTGGTTGAACCATGGAGATAAATCACATGGAGTTACGTAATCACAGGACACAGGATAGTCTCAACTCAGCTTGCATGAACTGGTTTTATTGAATTCGATTTGGCAATAAGTCTGACCATTTAACCAGGTTCTTAATTAGAACTGTCATATTTCACGAAAAAGTCTCAACCACATTATTATATCTACGGTAGACATTCCTCAGAATCATCTTGGGTGATATACTCAACCATGAAATCAATAGCAACTTTGACAATGGTTAAGACTTTTTAACCATCTAAGTTCAATGCAATGATTCTCCACGAATCGTAAATAAACTTTAACAAACACCAGTTTATATTATATTAATTGTATAAAAGCTGGTGTTATTATATATGTTATTATATTATATGTCGATAAAATGTTTGTTAAATCATAAGTTTGACCAAAATCGTTTACTGAGCGTTTATGATGCAGCAGGGCAGTATCCAGTTTTGGATAACACACAACTTTACAGGAGAGCGAAGCAGTAAAGTTCTTTCGCCAGATTACTGCTGCAGTTGCGTACTGCCACAGTAAGGGGTTCGTCCACCGAGACCTGAAACCAGTGAGTACAATTAATGAAGATTGAAACATGCTGCTGTTATTATGGAATCTGCATTTTAGTTTTCTAAGTGAGTAGAGGGCAATACAGTTATTGGGACAATACACTAGAACCGAGACAAATCATATCAGCAAGAGATGAATGGTATCAAATAAGTTCATCGGTAGATTCAGAAAGTTTAGGTCCTATTTATCAGGATCGCATTTTATGTAAAAACCATTACAACTAATAACCCGTCATTACCTCCCGACTGTTACAGTGTTACTGCTAGCAGCAGAGAATTTCTAAGAAAAGCAACAAATTCTGTACTAGAAAGCCATGTACATAGTGTACCAATGCCATTATTGATTCCTTTTAATTGGGATCTCGATGATGCCAGATCAACTCTCTTTTATCTTGTACCATTATTCGTATATTCTTTCAATTAATGTATACTTGTACATTAAAACTTAAGTTGATTTTATCGAGAGATCGTCTTGGTGCCTCACGAATTCGTTCCGTAATAAAATCTTTATACTTATAATATAGTACCATACGACCGGCAGACTGGGTTAAAGAGTTGGAAGTCAGGTTGCAGTCAGGTTGTAGTCAGGTTGCAGTCAGGTTGCAGTTAGGTTGCAGTCAGGTTGCAGTCAGGTTGCAGTCAGGTTTCAGTCAGGTTGCAGTTAGGTTACAGTCAGGTTGCAGTTAGGTTGCAGTCAGGCTGCAGTCAGGTTTGAGGTTGCAGTCAGGTTGCAGTCAGGCTGCAGTCAAGTTCTTACCTTATAAGGCTAAAAGTGCTATATAGTCTTTTGGCATCAGTAGTGAATGACTGGATATGATTATTTTAATGAAAAACGGTCAAAGGTTGCGTACCGTCTGGTCTTCACATAATTTTAAGGCCCTCTATATTCCAATACCATAATCCCAAAGTATTTATCATTATATTTATATGTATTATAGAAGTGTTGAAACTGTGATCGTCTGTAGTACAGCACCGTGGAACCAAATTCTCAAAACAACTCAATCGAAAGTGCCACTGATGTAGGTTCAAGACATACAGAACTAGGTCTTTACTACTTCTAGAACAATCTAGAAAATTGTAGAATAATCATTAATCATGCTCCTCAGCCCACAGTTGCTAATTCGTTGTCTCGCAAAAAACGGCTCAGTCAGCTGCCCTGACATCTTGTGGTTTAAAGCAGCACATAACTTTTTACTTTTGACAGTTAATTTCCAGGAGGGGTTTATGATTTTAACGCATAAACTGTCACTTTGAAACGTGTAATTCTAAAAACAGATTTAGAACTAGAACTATTTATAAAAACGAAAGTTTCAAAAACGAAATGGGTCATGAGCCATGACCCATGTTGAATATGAGCGGATTGCTTTTCATTAACCCAAAATGGAGACTCAAGTTTACAATTTAAATCAAGAAAACCAGGTGCAGTAAAACCCCGATTTACCGCAAACCCCGATTTACAGCAAACCCCGATTTACCGCAGTCACTTCCTTCCCCAAATAGGTCGTACCAACATTTCTTTGTTTATCGGTACTCCAAGGAGTCTAAGATTACCAATGGGAGAAAGCAGACCAATGAAATTACCCCCTTTATATTAGCGACAAAAGAAACGCTATTCTCGCCATATGACAAAAATCTAGGTGTTCTTATTTACTTGCATGAATTTGAGTGCGTTCCCGAAGATAGAAGGGTAGGATTCCGGATATTAATGTTTCAAATCAGAGGACCTTCCACGAATACTCGAAGACACTTTAACGAGAATTATTGTCCACGAAATCCTCTGATTAGTAAAAATTACATTTATTAAGAATTGAATTTATTTAGAATTGAATTTATTTACAGTAAGCCCACCCCTACTAATTTTGCGAATATTCTTAGAATACGCGAATATATGCATGATATTCGTAGTCATATGTGCACACTTAAGTAACTGACCAATGAACCTAGCATGGCTCTACATTAAAAGTACTCCTACAGATGTTTAAAATAGGGAGTGAGCGAGTGGGCGGGATTATTTCTAACTCCTCAACTGCTAGTACCAGCCACTCCTGCGGGGGGGGGGGGTCTGGTTGTCATGGTTACGCAACCCTCGCATGCTGTAGTGCGCGGTTGCAAAATATCAACTGTACTGTAGTTAATCTGTAATCTTTAAATACCTTAATTCCCAAAAATTTGAGCGGGCCTCTCGCCCAAATTTTTTGCAGACCAAATTAATTGCATAAATCTTTTCCGTCTGCTAAATTTTTTGCTAACCAAACTTTTGGCATTTGGCCTGTGGCCCTGAAATCTATAGAAAGATGGCTTTTTCTTCATATCCAAGTGAAATAATATTTGAAATTTTAGTTTTCTAATCTGTCATTCATGGCTTGACCAAGTAAAAAGGCTTATATTTTGAATGAATAGAAATAACTGGAATAGCTAACAGCTACTAATAAAACAAATGGCTAGAGGTACGGATAGCTAGAGATTTAAACAAGATCTGCAAATGTATATCTATCATTTTGTACTGTGCCATCATCACTGTATTTTTTAGTAGTTACTGGGCAGATCGTAAATTTCATAATGTGAAACAACTGAGACTACCACCTACATGCTTGAAATTGGAAGCAAAATGACTGGAATAATAAGGAATAATAATGAACTAAGGCAAATGACTAACTGAAATTTTATTGGAAAATCGTTCATTTTTCGAAGAATTTGTGCCCAAATTTTCGGTCGCCCAAATGAGTTCAAATTTTCTGCCCAAATTTTTCGGGCTCAAATAAATTGTGCTCAATATAATGGCACACAAATTTTTGGGAACTAAGGTAGCTCAGATTGTCAGGTGGTATATAAAGCCTTACTAACCAGTATTAACGTTAACAGGTTGGAACTTCATGGCCGAGGTAAACTTAGCTGTTTGTAGTTGTGTGTATTTAGTGTTCATTTAGTGGTGGTATCTAGAGAGGGAGATAGCACGTGGGCACACGTGGGAACTCAACAATATTAATTGTATCACGCGACTTGTTCTTTTTTAAATCATAACATTTTTTGTCTGGACACCATTGCACTCATGATGTGTTGAACCCGCCATTTGTTAGTTATTTAGAGCCGGCTCCATTTTATTTAACGTAGAGAAGCTGAAGAGCAGTTTTCTGAGCAACTCAGGACCAATCCGAGCTGAATTCCACGAATTGTATACGCTGAGCTCAGGAATTCAGACGTGTACATGTTTCTAACATGGTATTTACTACTTAAGTAGTGGTAATGGTATTTACTACTTAGTAGTGGCAAGGCTATCATCCCCTTCTTCTCACCCCTTCTCTTCTCCACTTTAACACATTCCTCTGCCCCAAATACACAATGGAAAAACACACACCTCAAACATTCTTCATCGCAAAACCATTTATATGTCGCTCAATGCTGTTTGACCGACCACATGTGATCTGATGTATTCACCAACCAGCCATGACATGGCTGTCATAAAATTGCTGCTGTTTGTCGAATGATACGAACATGATAATGAGATTCGACAGTTTATAGTTTGATGGAACTGTATCGGAATGTCTGGCACGTGGTATTCGTGTGATGTTCTTATAGTTTCCCAGTACAAAGGGGGGGATCCGGGGAAGGGGTTGCATTTTTGTCATAGTATAGTTACATTAACTTATTACTCTTTCAGTCTTTCCGATGGCTTTATTCAAAAAATTAAAAATGACAAATGTTTCAAAGTTTTGATTACTTTTCCCAAAACTTAACCATTCAGTTGTTATTTGTGTGTACTGCTGCAGTTGTCTGTTGTTATAATAATCACCATGGATACTGTGCTCCCCTTTCTTGGACGATGAAGAGTATTTATGATGCAATTGAGCAAGTTGCTATTATATTGTTGTAGACTATAGTGCAATGTCAATATTGGACGCCTCCAGCCTGTTATTAACTCTAGCCGTATGCAAGAAATCACATATTAGATCTACTCACAACTTAAAGCAATCATATTTATCCAGTTCAACAAGAATTTTGGTAAAAGTCGTTGGTGTTTTCTCAAATATATAATATTCTTGAAATAGAATAGAAAAAATACTCCCGCCAAAAGTTCTCTCTCTCTCTCTCTCTCTCTCTCTCTCTCTCTCTCTCTCTCTCTCTCTCTCTCTCTCTCTCTCTCTCTCTCTCTCTCTCTCTCTCTCTCTCTCTCTCTCTCTCTCTCTCTCTCTCTCTCTCTCTCTCTCTCTCTCTCTCTCTCTCTCTCTCTCTCTCTCTCTCTCTCTCTCTCTCTCTCTCTCTCTCTCTCTCTCTCTCTCTCTCTCTCTCTCTCTCTCTCTCTCTCTCTCTCTCTCTCTCTCTCTCTCTCTCTCTCTCTCTCTCTCTCTCTCTCTCTCTCTCTCTCTCTCTCTCTCTCTCTCTCTCTCTCTCTCTCTCTCTCTCTCTCTCTCTCTCTCTCTCTCTCTCTCTCTCTCTCTCTCTCTCTCTCTCTCTCTCTCTCTCTCTCTCTCTCTCTCTCTCTCTCTCTCTCTCTCTCTCTCTCTCTCTCTCTCTCTCTCTCTCTCTCTCTCTCTCTCTCTCTCTCTCTCTCTCTCTCTCTCTCTCTCTCTCTCTCTCTCTCTCTCTCTCTCTCTCTCTCTCTCTCTCTCTCTCTCTCTCTCTCTCTCTCTCTCTCTCTCTCTCTCTCTCTCTCTCTCTTTCTCTCTCTCTCTCTTTCTCTCTCTCTCTCTCTCAACAATGAAGTCCGTTGTAATTTTGATTATTCAAGCAGTACATTAGTACATACCATATCTACATACCAGAACGTCCAGGTGCACTACATGCCTTAGAACCTCATCCGTGACATTCTGATAACACCGTATATCATTACTAGACAAAACGTGAAGAGCTATTATTCATGACTCTAAGATAGGTGTATAATATATAAGCAACATTTGACAGAGCATAGTGTGGAGTGAGCTATGTGCCCATCCTTGGAGAACCCGGTGAATGTCCTTGGCAGTGTTAAACAAGGAACTGAAACCGAGGGGTTCCGTTCAGG